GATCAAAACTATACAACGTGATTCTTTTATACCATAAAGGGTACATTCGAATTACAAGTGTTTAAGATCGGAATTGATTACTGCTCTCCTTTAATTAAAAGAGCTTAGCCTATAGAAAATGAATTTGAAAATCTTGAGAGTTGAAGTCCCGTTAAAATCCTCCTTATTATGAATCAGAGTATTTTAGGGAAAAAAATAAAAAATTAAAACTTATGAGTCTTTTTTCTTCTTTAGTATTAATCTTGCTGATTGAGTGATTGTTACCAAATACTACTGTATATTAGTTCTCCTATTCTATTAGTTTAGGTCCCGTGTCATGCACGGTAATTTTTAAAAATTAATATAAACTTTAATATTATTGGTTATTTTACAAAAATTAAAAAAAGATCTAAAAAAATTAATAAATATGTGAATTTTAATCAATAGATAAACAACTATTTTTATTAGGGAAAAAATATGAATACTTTCTTAGAGTAATTTAAAATATGTTGCAAATTATGTAATATTTTCTATTATAGTCATAAATGTTTGGGTGGAAATGTATATCAAATCTTTTTTAGTTAAAGTAATTATCTTTGTTATTAACATATATAAAAAAACCTACTAAGAGCACTAGCAATGGTGAGTCTTTTTTTTGCTCATGAGTCTTTTTTGTGAGGAAATAAAATGCTCAAGTCTTACAATGGTGAGAATTTGTTAAAATGAAAAAAAAAGCCCATGAGCATTTTTAAAAAAAGCTCAAAACTTGAGCATTTTTTGTGATGAATAGTAACTTGAGTGGGGCCCACAGCTGGCTGACATAGCAAAAAAAATTCGGAGCACTGAGCATCAAAACGACGCGCATCAGTCAAGCTCCCTCAAAGGACGTTAATCAAAACTCGTCGTTTTGATGAAGCGGCTTTTTTTTTTAAAAAAAAGCAGAGGAGCTGACGCGTGCAGTGAGGGAGTGAATGAAGACGCGACACGTGGCTCCTGCAGTTTGCTAGCCAATCAGAAAATACTAGCCGTTTACAACGGATATAATTTTGTAATCTATTTTCTGAAAAATATATTTTGTAAAAAAAAAAATTACCAACGGTCATAAAATTAAATTCTCTATAAATAGACATGCATTTTGATATATTTTGATATAATTTCGTAAACGCTTTAAAATCCTCCAAATTTTAATTTTCTTAAAAGTATTTTAAATTTGTAGAAGAATATTGTTGTTGCAATTCAGCCATATTGAGGTAAAAAAAATTTTATTTAATTTTTAAAATCAGTTATATAATATAAGTAGTATATATGTGATTTTTTTTTTAAAAAAAAAAATTGTAGGCCATGTAATTATATTGCAATATGTAATTACACAAAGGTGTGTATATTTTGTCCATAAATTTCTAAATTTGTAGTTATTAAAGTGTTGCAATTATTGGTTAATTTTTTTTGCTATATATAAATGTAGTTACGTAATAAAATTAGTATATATGTGATTTTGTGGAAAAAAAAAATTATAGGCCACGAAATTAAATTGCATTATGTAATTAAACAAAGTTGTGTATATTTTCTCCATAAATTACTAAATTTGTAGTTATTTAAAGTGTTGCAATTATTGGTTAATTTTTTTTTGCTATATATAAATGTAGTTACATAATAAAATTAGTAAATGTTTGGTTTTTGAAAAAAAATCAATATGATAGGCCACGAAATTATATTGCATTATGTAATTAAACAAAGTTGTGTATAATTTCTCAAGAAATTTCTAAATTCATAGTTCTTAAAGTGTTGCAAGTATTGATTAATTATTTTTTTTAAAAATGTACATGTAGTTATGTGTTAAAATTAGTATATATGTTATTTTGTGAGGAAAAAAAAAATATTGTATGGCATGTAATGTAATTGCATTATGCAATTGAAGAAAGTTGTTGATATTTTTTTGGATTTGTTATCATTTTAATTTGTTTTTTGAGTAAATGTTTGTAACGATACTTATCTTTTGTTTTTTGATGCAAAATCTTTTGATGGATCCAAACAACCCAAATTTCCGTCAACAATTTTCGGGTTTTAGTGATGATTTCCTAACTAATCCCGAGTTTCAATTGTTTTTGCAAAGAATGAGCAATATGTTGTCACAACCACCTCCACTGCATCAGATACCCACTGAGGTTCCCCTACAAAACCCTGCTAATGAAGATCGTACACCTGAAACTGATCTTGGTAGTAACACACTCTTCGATGAGAGCGAAGAGGAAAGCGTACCAGAGACGCCGCAGTATCCTCCTCCACCAGTTCGCTTGTTGGAACCCAACCAGGTTCCTGCACGAGCTACCCGTATTTGGTCTGTTGCGGAAGATGAAGCTCTGATTGGGTTGTACTTGCAGATTAGCGAGGATGCTATTAAAAGTACAAGCCAAAAAGCAACTAGCCTATGGTGCAATGTACACGCAGCATATCAAACTTTGCATACGCAGAAGCCGCATATAATTCCGCCAAGGCCTATTAAGAGTCTGACGTCGCACTGGAGAAGGTTGGCAGCGGACACACTGCAATGGATATCTTGCTATGATGAAGCAGGTAGACTTCCGGAGGAAGGGAGTGGTTACAATGAAGCTGATCGTATGAAAAGTGCGGCGAAGCTTTTTCATGTCGCCCAAGGTCGCAATTTCACTTTTCCTCACGCAATTGAAATGCTTAACAAGGATCCAAAGTGGAGACCAAAGCTGAGATGGTCAATGTCCTTGAAGGAAAGAAAAGCCGCTTGTGATGCTGAGGAAGAAGGTAGTGCTGGAAGTGGGAAGAGGTCCAGAGATGATGTAGAGGATGATACCCCTACGGATGGTTTTTCATCTGGCGGTTTACAGCGACCCGAGGGTGACAGAGAAATTCATCTATCTCTGAAACGTGATTTAGTCGAACACATTTGGCAACGATACGGGCCACGTAATTAGGGAGAAATTAGCACGACTTAAATAAAGCCAAGTACTATGGCGTAGCTACTTTTCCGTACGCAGTCGAGTAATTTTTTAATTGTTGTGTTTATTTTATTTCCTAAGTTTAATTACGCATGACGTTACAAATGTAATTGGTTTCTAGTATTGTACCGCTTTTAAAATAAATAAAAATATTTAAGAAATTTTGAGTTTTTTTTTTACAATTATTTCATATAACGTACTTAATTTTACGACAAATTTTAACGATAAAAAAGACAAAAATAAAAAAAATAAGTTACACAAATTTAAACTAGTTTTTATTTATTTGGAATAACATTGTTAAAATATAAATGAAATTAATAAATAAAGAAGTGTTGTGTAGGAGAGAGAAAGTAATGGTGGGGTATTGAAAAAGTAAGAGAGAGAGTGGTGGGTGGGCATTTTTTTTGCTCACCATTGGGAGAGAAAATGTGAAAAAAATTTGCCCATGAGCAAAACTGATTTGTTGAGAGATAAAGTGGGTAGAGAGAGAGTGGGTGAGCATTTTTTTTGCTCACCATTGCTAGTGGTCTAAGGATACACCGAAGATGACACGTGTTATTGCTGGCGTGTCTTTTAGTGTATATATATATATATATATATATATATATATATATATATATATATATATATATATATATATATATATATATATATATATATATATATATATATATATATATATATATAATATTAATTGATTGATTGGTATTGATTGACCCTCTTCATTTAGCTTATGCAATCGTCCAATTCAAAGTTGATCAAGAACACACTCACTTCATTTGAATTTCATTTATTATCTTTCATTATATTATTAGTTACATTAACAGAACTTATTAGCGCTCTTTTATTATTTTTTTTCAATTGATTAGCTCTTGCGTTATCTGAACTATCAATTGTACTCTTATCTTATATTTCCTCCGTTTTTTTTTTGTTGACACTATTTGACTTTTATACTATTCACTAATTACACTTTGACTGGCTTTTGTGATTTATAACTATGATAAAATATAGTGAGATCTTATTTGAATCGTCTCAATGTATATTTTATTAAAATCCACTTCTTATAATTTTATAATGTCGTGATTTAGAGGTATTAAGCGTTAAAATAGTGCATTGGCAAGCATGAAAAGAGAATGGTGTCAACTAAAAAAAACAGAGGTAGTATTATCTTTATCCTATACTATACTTCGTATTATCATATTGAACCTTGTAAAACCTTATTGGACATTAGGTTTTATATAAGATCTTATTATACCTTATCGGAAGTTATTAATCTCTATCTTATCTTATTTGAAATTATTAAATCTTATTTTATCTAAACTTAATTAACTTATATGGACTTAGACCCTATTCTGTTCACCTTATTTTCATTTATTTCAGGAAAAATAAGTTCAGATAAGGGTTAATAAGTTCAGATAAGATAAGTTCAGGAAAAACAAATTCAGATAAGTTGTGATAAGAGTTAATCAGGGTTACCTAAGTTCAATTTATAGCTAAAATAAGTTCTAATAAGGGCTAATAAGTTCAGATAATTTCAGATTAGATCATATAAGTAAAAATCAGGTGAATAGAACACACCCTTATTAGCCTTTATCTTTATCTAAACTGAATTGAACTTATAAAACATGTTATAATAAGTGAAAATAAGGTGTGAAGAGCAAAACATCATTTAGTTCATACTCTACAATAAAATGTCATCCCATTTTGAAATTAAAAAAACACACAATTATTTTTTATTTGTCTTAATTTACTTACCATGTAACCATAACATTTACACAAAACTTTATGCAAGTAAAAAAAGGTAGAGGGAAAAAAAAGTGAATGAATAAAGGACCAAACTCAAGTGAACATATTGTTTAATAAGTACTCCGTAAATGAGACGTTTAAATAGGATGCCCACACTCCACATAAAAATCGATCACCTAAATCAACTCTTAACTCCGAATTGTCCAATCTAATACTCTACTTTATACCAAAATCACATTAGGAGTTCTCCTTGTAAGAAGAACCTCATAACCCATACGTAATATTCTAAACTTTTTTTATATTAAAAAAATAAAAAAGGCAAAATTTAACAATTGCTAAGATAACTATACTAAAAATGAATATATTAAATTAAAATATTAATTACACGGATTGATACATGATTATAACATGCATTTTCAAATTAATAAAAACATTTTAAAAAATATTTTAAATTGTTATATAATACTTGAGCCCTATTAACCAGATTAAAAAAAAAAAATCAATACCAAAATCATTTTCGCGCCTTTTGATAATTCTAGCAAAAACATAAAAATATTAAAATTATTTTAAAATTTATTTATTTATTTTTGTAAAAAGCAACATTTTCTCTCTCTCTCTTTCAATTCTTTCATCATCTTTGACTTGTACTTAGGCGGACGCGACCGCAACTTTAATTCTTTTCCCTCTTTCTCTCTCCTCTTTCTCTTCAGACAATAAAAAGTTTAAATAAAAAAAAAAAAAACAAAACAAAAAAAAAAAACATTCTCTCTCCTCATTTCCTCTCCTCCTTTCTCCTCCCTTCGCCGGAGTTCTCACCGCCGGCAACTTCTCGCCGCCGTACATTCGCTCTTCTCCTTCTAACTCCGAGATTTCATTGTTACCTCGAAATTCGTGCAATTGCTAAGAAGCAAGATTGATCTGCTGTGGGAACTCTGCACTAGAGTTGTTGTAGAGGTGGAAAAGGAAAAGGGTTTTTTTGGGAAGATAGAATTAGTTAGATCTAGGGTTTTGAAAATTGAATTTTAGGGGAGTATAATTGTGTAATTTCTGGGTTTTTTTAGGGTGGGATTTTTGGTCAAGGTTAAGGGGATTTTGTTGAATTTTAATGGTGGTAGTGTAGAAGAGGATGAAAGGCAGTGATGTTAGAGATCGGAGAGGGAGGCGATTAGTTGAATTTCTCACATGGAATGGCAGATCTTGTTAGTTATGGTAATGCCGATCGTGACATTGAGCAGGTTGTTTTTCTCTCTCCATAATTTGTTGTTGTTGTTTTTTGTGCTTAATTTGGTCTACTTTAAGAATTTTAGTTTTTGGGACGTCGGATTTTAGCTGTTTGTGAAGGAATTTAGTTGATTTTGGTGGGTCAATTTGAAGTTAATTTTGACTTGGTTGAAATTATAGGAAATTAGGAAGAATGTAGTTTAATGTTTTTTTTTTTATTTATTTATTTATTTTAAAAAAAAAAAATCAAAGTTGGGTTCTTTTAAGATTGTGTATTCATTTTGCTTTTACATGGTTGGAATTAACTACATTGTTTACTCAAGGAGGGATATTGAAGAGGGTTTTAATTAGGATTTACTCTCATATCACATTCCTTTTTCTCCCTTTTGTTTTTGTTTTGGTAGAGATGGCAAATGGGTCGTGTCTCTGAAGAAAAGGGGTGGGGGAGAGGAGGGGCTTTGTCTTTTAAACTTGGGGGGGGGGGATTAGCAACTTTAAGGGGTTTGAAAGATTTTCCTAGGCGAGTAATGTGATGGTGCTGGTCCTTGTTTGGCATCTTGCATGCCTATGTAAATCCTGTAGCTTTTGGTACATTTTGTTGATTTTGCTTAGAAGGTTAAAAATTGGGTTACGTTTTTGATCATGTATAAATATTGATAAATGTGGTTTTATATCCAGGCGAGCTTTGTTTATTGATAAGAGTTTACAAATTCTTGTTCTGAGTTGTGAAGATTGTACTCGCAACTTTGGAACAGTAGAATTTAGACAATGGTTGCTAGTTATACGGATTAATTCATGAGTTGTGATTCACATATTTCCGGAGATGTTGGTGTATACTCATGATTATTGAAACTTATATTATTATCTCTCTTTCCAGCTTGGCATGTCCTTGATTACTCTTGCTTTTATCTATTAACCCTCTTTATTTAAAAGTGTTAATGATGTTGTCAAAATAGCTAGTAAGGGCTACTTAACATGCATACATTCTATATAGATTAGTGCCTCATAAACTAATCAGTTTCACTTTTATTTAAAATGCAGACATTGATAGCTTTGAAGAAAGGTGCTCAATTACTTAAATATGGTCGTAAGGGAAAGCCAAAATTTTGTCCGTTTAGACTTTCTAGTGTAAGTTCAGTGCCTTCTGTTTATGTTTCTCAGTTTAGCTGATTGAGAATACTTAGGAGATATGTTGTAGTCTTTTAAAATGTTGTAGTCTTTTAAAAGAGCTGAATACTTGAGCTCTTGCCAATATACTGATCAAAGAACTGTGGGGTTACACTATCCTTTACATTATCTTGTTTCTGTACATGTATTATTGATCAAAGAACTGTGGCCTGTTTATGTTGTAGTCTTGTAGGAGATATGTTGTAGTCTTTTAGAAGAGCTGAATGCTTGAGCTCTTGCCAATATGCACTTCTGCTTATTCAACACCTATGATGTTGTTGTATGTGTTTACTGAATTTTAAATTTTGGGGTCTAAAGTTATGAATATAATGCTCTTTTCATCTTTTGATTGTGTTTTGGAATAGAGGAAACTAATCTATTGAGAAATAAGGGTTGAGTTTGCAAACATATTGATAGTATTGGTTCATAAGAGCCTATTACTATTGTCTTCTTTTTAACAATCACTAGTTTCAAGATCTTAAGAAAGAGAGACGTTAAGATACATGCTCAAAGTCAATCACTTGCCATTGGCCTCATGAATGTGTTGCTAGTATGAATTTGTTTGACCTAGTGTTGGATTTTTTTTGGAATGTGGACCGTTGAGCCCATGAACAAACCCACATGTTAGTGGAAGTGTTGTCCCACATCAATCAATCAATCAAAGCCTTAATCCCATATATGGGGTCGGCAACATGAACCAAAATTGATTATTCCGTGTAGTCATTGACAAAAATCTTCCTCTTCCATCCATTAAGATCAAATGCCTCATTCTCATGCAAATTCATATACTTCATATCCTTCCTAACTCCTTCTAACTAAGTCATTTTCGGTCTCCCTTTCCCTCGTTTAACCCCTCCATGGTCCTACTCTTCGTACCGGTGCACCCTCGGGTCTCTGTCTTACATGCCCAAAGATTTTTCCTTAGTTTGTTTGTATTGCCTGCCACACCCACTTTCTTGCGAATAACCTCATTTCTGATTCTATTTGTTAGAGAGCCCCACATCAAACAAATGTAAAAAGGTAAGTACTGGGGATGTGTGTCGTACATTGAAGAGAAGAGAAAGTTGTGTCCACTTTATAAGACTAAGGGGCTTCTCGTCTCATGCCATATGGTTTTGAGGTAAAACTCCTTGCGGACTTATAAAGTGGACTCTCATGAAGGGTGCACCCAGGCTCGTTTAACATGGTATTAGAGCTAGGTTTAGTTGGATTGATATGTGCTAGTAAAATATGAACAACTCATGTGCAAGGGGGAGTGTTGAATCCATAAACTAACCCACATGTGAGTGGGTGTGTTGCCCCACATTAATGATGTGTATAGGAGAGGGGAATATTGGGATATGTATCCCACATTGAAGAGAAGAGAAAGTTGTGTTCACTTTATAAGGCTAAGGGTCTATTCTCTTTATTGCCAAATGATTTTAAGGTGAAACTTCATTGGACTTATAAAGTGAACTCTCATGACGGGTGTGTCACAATGGTGTTTCTTGACTTAAGATTTAGTTGGTTAAGAGGGATTTAAAAAAAAAAAAGGAAAAAAAAAAAACTTTCAGCAGAATTGTGTGACTAGTTCAAAGCTAAGATGGAAAAGTGATGGAAGATAGTAACATTATTGTTTTCCAATAGGCTTGTCTGTTTATCTGATCTGAATTTTTTGCGATGGCTTTATCTTTTTCATGAAATTGTTTCAATGAAGGTGTCAATCACTTATGGAGTATATGAGAAATGGAGATTGTTTGACTCATGAGATAAGATTAGGCTTAGAATCAGTCAAGTTATAAGCTGTAGTTGCAGATCCTAGATGGAGGTCATTAGGTCATATAATCTTGAATGACTAATCTTTACAATTGTAGTAGTGTGGCATGTGTTGATGTTGGCCTTTATGAAATTCTGCCATAGAAATGATAACGAAAGATTGATGTCAACATTAGTGCAAATTACGATTGAACTTTAACCATGCAACTACTAGTGCAAGGAGGAAACTTGCTAATAGACATGAAGTTGAAGTGAAGCAACAATTGTTCAATTTTGGATTACTGTGAAATTTATTAAACAAGATCTAACAGCTTCTTTGTAAAGTAAACAGACTGTGCTCTTTTGATAATTCTGGGATTTTTATATTGCTTAGTAACTCTTAGTACACATTCACTCATGTCTTAGCTGAATATTAATTTAACTAGATAATACCTGAGCCAAATTATTGATACTTGAACTGTAGAAGTTTCTAGAGAAATAGGAAGTATAACAGTATAACACAATAGTCATTTATCATAATAGCGTTCAAAAAAAATTATATTAATAAATAAAAATATTGAATTTTCTAGGCAAATTGATGACAAAAAAAATAATAAAAAAAAACACTCCAATGTAGCATTAGAGTAATAGATAATTTATAATATATATAATATAATAATCTAAGGTTAAAAGAAGGATAACAATATGATGTCAGCAATTGATTTAGGCGGGAATTTTTTTTATCACAGCTTGACATGTGTACAATTTGAAGAAGGAATGATGTCAGCGGCTATTATTTTAGTAATATTTTATAGATAGATTGCAGCCTTCAAAGTTTAAAGATAATAAGGTTGTGGGGTAATATGTGTCTATCACTATTAGCTTATTTTAACTTCCAGTGGGTGGCAATTCGGGTCAGCAGGTCGGTTCGGGTTAGATTTTGGGTCAATTTCGGGTTGTGATTAAAAACTATTAAAAATAGTGTAAAACTTAGTATTAATACAAAATATGATATTTGGGTCAAATCGGGTCAAATTTGGGTCAAATCGGGTCGAATTCGGGTTGTTTGAGTTCCGTTCAGGTCGGGTCCGGGTTTCTCTCATTAATTTCGGGTCAGGTTCGGGTCGGTTTATCGGGTCGGGTCAGGGATTGCCAGTAATCTTCTCTCTGTTTTATCGATCTATTTTAGTATTTTTCTCCAAATGCAAGTAGATGATGCCTTTTAATCATCTACCAATTTACTCTTGTATAGTATATGTTCCTGTCTTCAATTCTAAGCATGTAACATTCTTTTTTATTTATGTTGTAGTGGATTCTTTCAACTCTTAACCTAGTAGATTATTATTGCTAGTCAGATTACCATCTTTATATGTACTTTTTAGCAGATCTTTCTTTTGCTGACCATGCGGTTTATTCTGAAATATGTCAGGATGAAACAACATTGATTTGGTTGTCTAGTGGTGGTGAGAAAAGTATAAAGCTATCTTGTGTCTCAAAAGTTATTCCTGGACAAAGAACTGTGAGTTTTATTTGTGAGTTTTATTTATTGGGCGATACTCACAAGTATTGGAGTTATACTTGATGTTTTAATAACTCCAACTAAACATGTTCTCTTATCTCTGTTTTCCAGGCTGTTTTTAGAAGGTTTTTGCGTCCGGACAAGGATTATTTGTCCTTTTCCCTTATATACAATAACAGAAAACGGTCTCTTGATCTGGTTGGTAACAACGCTTTAGTTGTCGTCTTGGTCATACTTTATCATGTCTGGCAATGATTAAAAGTTTATTGTGCCTTTCAGATCTGCAAGGAGAAAGTTGAGGCTGAGGTGTGGATTGCTGGTCTCACAGCACTCGTCTCTGCAGGGAAAGGTGGGCGCTCGAAAATTGACGGATGGAATGATGAAGGCCTTTCCTTACAAGTAAACATCTGAAACTATCAAAATCTTGGAAATTTAGTTGCTGTTTCTCATGTTTGTAATTCCAAAGGAATTTTAAGCTAATGTTTTGATAATTGATTCCAGGACAACAAAGATTTGACATCAAGTAGTCCAAGTGACAGCTCTCTTACCTTGACAAGATATCTTAGCTCACCTGAAGATTCTTTTAGTTTTCATGGTGGTTTCTCTCCTAAACATAATCAGTCAGGCAACTTTATGTCTTCTGAGAAATCACATGTAGCTTCAGAAAATACAAATATGCAAGCAAAAGGATCTGCTTCAGATGTTTTCCGGGTTAGTGTTTCTAGTGCACCCAGCACTTCTAGTCATGGATCTGCAGGCGATGATTGTGATGCTCTTGGGGATGTGTACATTTGGGGCGAGGTTATATGTGAGAATTCTTTCAAGGTTGGACCTGATAAAAGTGTAAATTTTGTTAGCACAAGAGCAGATCTTCTTCTTCCCAAGCCATTGGAGTCTAATGTTGTTCTGGATGTGTACCTCATAGCTTGTGGTGTCCGGCATGCTGCTCTTGTCACAAGGCAAGGCGAAGTTTTCACCTGGGGTGAAGAATCTGGAGGTAGGCTGGGGCATGGTGTGGGGAAGGATGTTTTTCAACCTCGTTTAGTTGAATCTTTAGTTGCTTATAATGTTGATTTTGTTGCATGTGGTGAGTTTCATAGCTGTGCTGTAACAATGTCTGGTGAGTTGTACACATGGGGTGATGGCACTCATAATGCTGGGCTTCTTGGTCATGGTAATGAAGTTAGTCATTGGATACCAAAGAGAATTGCCGGACCTCTTGAAGGTCTCCAAGTGGCTTCTGTAACTTGTGGTCCATGGCATACTGCTTTAATAACATCAACTGGGCAGCTCTTCACTTTTGGTGATGGAACCTTTGGTGTCCTAGGCCATGGGGACCGTGAAAATATTCCTTATCCAAGAGAGGTGGATTCTCTGTCAGGTTTGAGGACAATTGCTGTTGCATGTGGGGTGTGGCATACCGCAGCTGTGGTTGAAGTTATCGTAACTCAATCCAGTTCTAGCATTTCATCAGGAAAACTATTCACTTGGGGTGACGGAGATAAAAATCGTCTTGGTCAAGGTGATAAAGAGCCCCGTCTGAAACCAACTTGTGTGCCATCACTTATTGAATACAACTTTCATAAAGTTGCTTGTGGACATAGTTTAACTGTTGGGTTGACTACAATGGGTCATGTATTTACGATGGGGAGTACAGTTTATGGTCAGCTTGGGAATCCTTTTTCTGATGGAAAACTACCTTGTTTGGTTGAAGATAGGCTTGGTGGTGAAACGGTTGAAGAGATTGCATGTGGTGCATATCATGTGGCGGTGTTAACATCCAGGAATGAAGTTTACACTTGGGGAAAGGGAGCAAATGGGAGGCTAGGTCATGGAGATGTAGAGGACCGAAAGACACCGACCTTGATTGAGGCCTTAAAGGATAGACATGTTAAATATATCACTTGTGGTTCTACTTACACAGCAGCTATATGTCTTCACAAATGGGTTTCTGGTGCTGAGCAGTCTCAGTGTTCCTCTTGTAGGCAGGCTTTTGGATTTACTCGAAAAAGGCATAACTGCTACAATTGTGGACTTGTGCACTGTCATTCTTGTAGTTCAAAGAAAGCATTTAGGGCAGCTCTTGCTCCAAATCCTAGTAAACCTTATCGTGTATGTGATACTTGTTTTGCCAAATTGAGTAAAGTTTTGGAAGGTGGCAGCAACAGAGGAAAAAGTTCTGGGCCTCGGCTCTCAGGTGAAAACAAAGATAAATTAGATAAAGCAGAATTAAGATTGTCAAAGTCAATGCTACCTCCCAACCTGGATTTAATTAAGCAATTGGATACTAAAGCTGCCAAGCAGGGAAAGAAAGCTGAGACATTCTCACTGATTCAGACTTCCCAAACACCTTTGTTACAATTGAAGGACGTTGTTTTATCTGGTAGTGCTGATGTAAAGCAGACAATACCAAGGCCGGTTGCTACAACAGCAGCTGCTACTTCCATTTCCAGACCAGTGTCACCTTTCTCACGTAAGCCAAGTCCTCCACGTTCAGCAACTCCAGTTCCTACGACTTCCGGCTTGTCTTTCTCTAAAAGTATTTCTGACAGTTTGAAGAAGACTAATGAACTCCTAAATCAAGAAGTAGTTAAATTGCGTGCGCAGGTATGTTATATACCTCCCATGTATGTTTTCTAGCAGTCATTCGAATTAATGTTTTTGTCTAATTGGCCTTTATCTGGTAAGGTTGAGAGCTTGCAGCAGCGATGTGAACTTCAAGAGTTAGAGCTTCAAAAATCGTCAAAGAAAACTCAAGAAGCTGTGGCGCTTGCTGCAGATGAAACCGCGAAAACTAAAGCTGCTAAGGATGTAATAAAGTCGCTTACTGCTCAGGTTCTTATCCGAATCTCTATTTCAACACTTTTTGATATCATTTTATTGAAGTTAATGTTATATATCTGGTGCTACATAATTGTGCAAGTTTACGAAGCTGAGTTTTATGATTCGTTTATGCTAATATCAACTTCTAATTGAATTTTTTAAAAACATTTCTCTTTTCTCTGTTGATCCTTGAGAAATTCTCTCCTTGATTTGACAATGCATTGTGCTCTGTTCATCCCTTAGCAAATGTCTCCATTTCTGTTTTTGGAATGTCTCCAAAATCCAATGCTTTCCTTCCCATTGTTTGCGCTACCTTATTATAAATCATACTATCCCATTCCCTTCTAGAAGGATTTTGTAGGTAAGCTTGTGAAATAGGCATTAAAAAAATGTTTTGGACCGAGTTTAATTTTCTCCTTAATCCAGTGATATCTTTGTGTTTAATTCTCTTTTTATGTGGAGGATGCATCTGTGAAGATGGATTCACAATTATATATATCAATTCTTGTTTCAGCTCAAAGATATGGCTGAAAGGCTGCCACCTGGGGCTTATGATCTAGAGAACATAAAGATGCCACAATTACCAAATGGCTTGGAACCAAATGGTATTCATTCTGCTGATGCAAGCGGAGAGCACGTTTTAAGATCCGATCCTACAAATGGTTCCATCTCCTCGTTAACTGGAGTTGATTCGTCCACGACAAACGGAACTCAAGGACCTTTACAATCTCCCAGGGAATCATACATGCTCAATGAAAACAGTTACCAGCTGAATGAGAGTTTTGCAGCCTTGAAGGGTAGAGAGGATCAATTACATGCCAAACTGTCAGCTGCTGCCGGTGGTCTGCAGACATGCAGCAGCAGTGTTTCTGATGCCACTGATGCTCGGTTTTCGGCATCGTCTCAAGATGGCTTTAATAGTTGTAGGTCAAAAAGTCCAGTTCCATCAGCAGCTAATAATAATAGTCAAGTTGAAGCAGAGTGGATTGAACAGTACGAACCTGGTGTTTATATCACTCTGGTTGCCCTTCGAGATGGAACTAGAGATCTCAAACGAGTGCGCTTCAGGTAAATATTCCAGATTTTTGCGCCTTAATATTGCTTCCTCATTTAGATATTGTATGACCCTTGAGAGTATGATGATGTTGAGAAAAGTCTGTCTGTTAATAGTTGTTAAAGTTAATCCATGCATTATGCATCTACATCACAAGGCATTTAATAAAATTGATAGAAGAAAACAACATGGATTTTTTGTCCACGTCGTTTTGTAAATTGGTAAATTCAAGATGCATTACCTAAATCATCGATGTTCATTAAACATTGTGTAAAACGAGCTGCTTCTTTGAAACATGTCCTTATAAAACCACTCTAAATAAAGCGATCTGTCTATATATATGCCAAGGTTTTCACATCTTTCCATCAATGCAGCCGAAGAAGATTTGGGGAACACCAGGCGGAAACATGGTGGTCGGAGAATCGTGAAAAGGTGTATGAAAGGTACAATGTTCGCGGGTCTGACAAGTCATCTGTTTCTGGACAAACGGCAAGAAGATCAGATGGAGCCATGTCTCCGGCATCCTCTTACAACTAGCCGATGACTGTAGGTAGTTAGTGACCCTGTAATTATTGGGATGCCTTTTTGCAAAGAATTGGCTATGATATTGACAGAGTAAATCACATTCTTCTGCCCCTCTAGAATTTTTGATTATTTTTTTTACACTTCATTTTAGCCTTTTGGGGGTTAAGCTACACCTTTTGACCTGTTAATTGTCATATTAGTGTATATAAATTATTCATTGCGAGAAAAATGGGATGTATGATTGTAGCTAGTTTAACGTCAATGTCTCCTTTTTACCCGATCATCCCTTGTTATTCTCCTCTCATTTCGGAGATTTTTTTAATGAATTCCTAACTGTCTCTTTCCCTCAAAATTTAGGGTGGCTTGCTGTTTTTGTTTTCCTTCTATTTGGTCACCCCTTATACTTAATTTTTTTTACTTTTTTTTTATTTTTTTTTGAAAACACCTTATTCTTAATTAGCATAGGGTGGTTTCGTGATTATGATATGAAGTACTGAGACAAAAATTATGGAACGGATGGTGTATAACTGTATAAATGCTGAATGAATTTAATGTTGTATGACTCCAATTTCCATTTTATTAATCTACCTCTCATATTAATCACTTTTTTTCTTTTTTTTAGGAAATTCTACATGGTAACCCTCAGAATTTAAAAAATCTATGTGGTGGCAAGGCAAAATGTTTGTTCCATTAATTGACACTCAACTTTCTAATAATATACTTAAGCCCCGTTCACTTTACCTTATTTTTGCTGAACTGAAATTAATTTTAATGAACTTAAATTATTTTTACCGAACTAAAATTATTTTTACTGAACTGAAATTAATTTTGGTGAACTGAAATTATTTTTTTACAATTTCTCTATTATATTTCTTCCTTAGGGTTATTGATTTTTGCTGAGCTGAAATTATTTTTACTGAACTCAAAATAATTTTACTAAACTGAACTTATGTTTGCTGAAGTGAAATTATTTTTACTGAATATTTTATTTTAAAGTGAACTGAACAGGGCCTTAGTGACCTAATTAAACTATTTCTTGGCTAACCCATCACTTAGCACCTAATTACTAACCCTAATATGTACTAACCAACCCCTCCAATTAACTTCCCTCTTTCAAAATCCCGCCTATTTCACTCTGTTCCTTTTAATTTTGGTGTTTTGAGAGCCACAAGGGCGGGGGTGATGAGAATCGATCCTAATTCAAGATCTCTTGAAAACGAGAGGGGAGCTCTAACCATTTAAGCTATCCCTCACTCTCTCAATCTGTTCCTTTTATAAGAATATAGACCATCTTCTTCCTTCGCACTTTTCATAAAATTGCTTAAATATTTTTTTGCCATTTTTGCTTGTGGGAGAACATGTAATGTTGCAGTTGATGGTAGCTTTAGCTGGGTGAAAATTAAGGTTTATGACTGCAATCCTCCTAAATTTATTGAGATTAGATTATCTGAATTATTGACTAGAAATCCACGGAAGCCCTATTATAAGTGTAGACATGTTGTTTGTAAGGTGATATGTGATATTATTGTTAGATTTCGGGAAAACTCCTCAATCTGGAGTTTGTACCATTGATCATATATATAGAGTTTTACAAGACTCGTAATCAAACGATGTGGAACGACGGGTGTCGGGACAATCTCCCCAATTAGCGTCAGTGTAAGTAATCAAACGATGAGAAGCAGACGGATATAAATGTAAGCCATGATCAATGGTACCCTGAACATAACGCAGAATGCGTTTCAATGCATCATAATGAGATTCCCGGGGATCATGCATAAAAAGACACACCTGTTGTACCGCATAGGCAATATCTGGCCTAGTGAAAGTGAGATACTAAAGAGCACCTACTAAACTGCGATACAAAAAAGGATCCCGAAAAGGTGGTCCCGCATCTGCACTAAGTTTGGACTTAGCGTCAACTAGAGTGGCTGCAGGTTTACAAGAGACCACACTTGCACGCTCTAAAATCTCCTGTGCATACTTTTCCTGTGAAAGTAGCAAATAAGAAGGAGCACGGGTCACCGCAATCCCTATAAAGTAGCTTAGAGGACCCAAATCAGTCATAGGGAACTCAGTTTGCAACTGAGATATGATCCCCTCACGCAACCTGTCAGAAGAGGTAGCTAATATAATATCATCAACATATAGAAGCAAGTATGCCATATCATCACCCTGCCGAAAAGTAAAAAGAGAGTTGTCACTTTTAGCAATGACAAAACCCAATTTAACCAAAAAGTTCGCAAAGCGCTGGTACCAAGCTCGAGGAGCTTGCTTCAATCCATATAGATCCTTACAAAGTTGACATACATAGGAGGGTGCTCTCCGATCAACAAAATCCGGAGGTTGATGCATATACACAGTTTTCTGCAAATCACCATTTAAAAAGGCATTTTTGACATCTAATTGATGAATCGACCACTTTTTAGCCATAACTAAGCTGAGAATAGTACGAATAGTGGCCAGTTTAACTACCTGAAGGTCTCATCACAATCCACACCAACTTCCTGCGACCTGCCATCACATACAAGACGAGCTTTGTGCCTTTTAAGGTCACCATTAGACTTGTATTTATGTGTGAACAACCACATACAATTTACAATATTCACCCCCGTAGGCCTAGGTAACAAATCCCATGTCCCTGTTTTAATTAGAGCATCATACTCATCTTGCATCGCCGCATTCCAGTTAGGATCATTTAAATCATTTTATATGTCTTACGAAGCAGGGATTTGTGAGATGTGATAGTGTAGACACCTGATTGTGTCTCCCCAAAAACAAAACCCAGTGATGAGTACCTTTCACATCTTTGATTATTGAGTTAGGTGAAGAGATGAAGAGTCTCGTGAATTTCCCTTTAGCCTTGACCATTTATAACCTTTCCTTAAATGTTTTAATCCAAAATCATTTATTTCGTATCCTCTTTATGAAAACGTCCAAACCAGTCTATTTTGGTTTATGATCTCGGTCCAATTATTGTGTAGTTGGATGGGGCTTGAAAAGAGCTTCCAACGATATATTATAAGCCCAAATCCGACTTATAACAAAGAAGTTATGGCCAAAATACTAAATCGAGCCTGAACTAAGCCTTACCTGCGGCCCAATGACCATGTAGAGGGTCCATTTACCTTAATCCCATTCCTAAACAAATTAGGATTTATTGCAGGCTTCTAGAATCATCTAGAAGGTTGTTATCGATCCTAAATTCATTAGATTTATTGTGAGCTTCTAGAATCCTCTAGAAGGTTCTAATTTATCTTGTTTTCGAAAAGATAAAGATTTAAGAATTTTACATCGGATAAAACATCTGTTTTTCAATGATCCTAATCCCGGTCAAATTAGAATACGTATGGAAATTTTATTAACCCAATCCGATTGGAAATCGGATTCCGTACAAATCCTATCTTTCCAAAACCATCGCTGAGCGACAGCATCATCGCGCCGTGACAAGTCTGCCGCACCGTGATGGATCTGTCGCGCCGCGACAAAGCTGTCGCCATGCGATGAGAAGCGTTTTACTTCGAGTCGAATTCTGACTCTTTTCTAATCCTTCGACCCTATTTTTTCCTTATAAATAGAGGTCGTTTCGCCCCGTTTTCATTCACCAACAATCATTATCTAATCCCCTCTCTAATACTTTCTCTCTCTCTCTTGATTCTTTTCTTAGCCTAGCCTAAATACATCCTAATACACATCTTTGATACTTTTCCCAAGCAAACACCATAGCTCCCTCACGAGCTTCGAATACTCCTAGCCAACCTTGAAGTTGCCTTCTCCCTCGACGTGAAAGGTTGATAGTTCTGAGGGTTTGGTCCCAAATCTATATTTCAAGTCTTATTTGATTTAATCTTTCTTGAAGTTTACTAACGTTTGTATTGTTTTGATAGAAAGAGATACAAGGCATCAAAGTAAGTAATTTGATTACTTAATTATTCTTTTGACATAGAAAACATGCTTAGAATGTTTATTATGATTTCTAGTATCATGTTTAGAGTGTTAATTAATATTTTCTAATATCATGTTGATTCCTAGTATCATGTGTAGGTTAATGCTTTGATCATGATTTTTATTAGTGACATGCTAGGGTTTGTTATTAATGCGTTTAGTATCATGCCTATGATCTTACTATTAATAATGTTTTGATGATGTTTTTATTATGATGATGATTGTTGTGTCAATTATTACATTACAACGTTATTCTTGATTTATTGTTATTTCTTGATCACGCCCTTTCTTGCAGGTTTAAAGGGAATTTTTACTTGAAATCACGCATAATAAGATAATTGATAAGTTGTTTTAGGCTTTATATGATTTTAATTCAAGTGATCGCCAACAATATTAGATTTATTTGTGCATTAATAATCGACCAACGTAGATTAAATACGCTTAGGATTAATTTGATGTATGTATGTTGATCGAAAAGCGCGCGTGAATATAATAAGAATTAAGTAGAGGCCGATTTAGGGCGGGTCCAATCTCTTTTAGGTTGGATTAGTACCATCATCCCCGAATATCCAGTCATGGTTTCGGACCACTATGGAGTTAGCGATCTCCGTGATCGTGAATGGGGTGTAACCTTCACACTCGTGAACGGTTTACAAGTTCCTTGAACTTGTTGGCTACTCTTTTATCTCTAGCTTTCTTCCCTTTGGACGCCACCATGCCTAAAAGCATGATCACAGTGGGACTCAAAGTTGGGTTTGAAAAATTCCCTACAGATGTACATAGATTCAGATCAATATGTTATAGACAATAATTGTTGTATTTCAGGTTAATATCATGATCATGCCTATCATCATCATTGTAAATATATATTTTTTTCTCAGGTACATAAACAGTAAGTAGGACAATCTTCTCTAAAACATGTAGCCTAATTTTTGTATAGAAATAAATATACGGAGTAAAAATTTCTATTTATAAAGGGTCAATGTCTTAATGAATTTAAATGTATAAATTGTCTTATTGCTACAACATAATTTGTTGTGCGATTAGCTTCTTGATAGATAGTATAACATCATCTATGAGTAGATGTATTTTCTGAGCTAAATACGGAGTATATATTAATTTGGTACATTGGTTCAATTGGTTAGATCACATAGAAAAAGTCAATGCCAATTTCTAACGAGAGAGCTGATAAAAGTCAATTTTTCCGAACAAGACTATTGACGCATATGCAACTAGTCAATTTTACCGAACAAGGCTATTGTCGCATATACAACTTCTCAAAGATTTTAGGCAGACAACAATTAATATGTTCGTTCGTAGTAAGTGTACATAGAGGTGGTC